GTATTATTCGCTATTTTCATAACCTGGATACTCTGTTACATTCTCACCGTCACAGACGTCTTCCCCAAAGAGAAAGGCAAATGGGGCCACGCGGCCCGAACGGATCTTTACACTGATGTACTTTATAAATCAGCTTGGTTTCGTTTTCCATATCCAGGTAAGGCCTTTATATTTTAGTAGAGAGGAATAAAAATTGAATCCTATATCAAAAGTCAAGAGTTTTTAATTGCTTTCCTGCTTCCTTCTCCAGCTTTCTTGCTTCATGAGAGTGGTGCCTACTGTAGAACACTGCTTAATCTGACAAGTCATTCGCTTCTGTAGTGTTTTATACTCACTACAAATCTAGTATTGTGGCTCTAGATCAGACAAACCTAAACTAAGTTTAAAATATAAAAAAGAAGAGAAATAACAAGGGGGCGCCTACTGTCGAGTGATGGCCGTAATGCAACTCTCACAAACCATTGTTAGTGTTATGAATTCGATCCTCACTGTGTATTCACTTAATATGGCTCCATCCTAAAATGAAACGAGCATCCAAGATTCTTCGAAGTGGGTATTGAAAAGATCTCAGCCCGATCAAGATGAATGGCCATGAAATGTACATTTATTACACATACCGACTCTGCAATTCAACACACTTGGCACATTGTTTTGGGCACCTCGAGATAGTGTAATTGTTAGCAAGCTTTTCTCGCTAGAACAATTACAACTGAGTCACGAGTTCGATCCTCACTGGGTGCCCCATACTTTCGGCCTTGTGCCACATCTAAGCTACGCTTGGAAAATCGCTAAGGGGTACCTCGGTGTGGTGTAACAGTTAGAAAACTTGCCTCGTTAGATTAGTTACAACCAAAGTGAGTTTGATTCTCACTAGGTGCCCCATACTTTCGGCCTTGTGCTACATCTAAGCTACGCTTAGAAAATAACCACTTGGAACGTTGTTTTTCTGACTTTTCAATCCCCTCAAAAAATGCTGATTTTTGATAATTAATGTACTCATTTTAGCACGTGTGTCGAGTAGAGACATTTTCAGAATCCCCAGATAAAGTTGACTTTAAGAATAGCTAAATAGTATCGTTATTTACATTATTCGGAATAATATCCTCATCTTTGTTGTTATTATCACAACGTTTCTGCCACTGTGCCTTCGGGGCTTCTTCAGATGTCTTCCGATTAACCAGGAGACAATAGCCTAATGAATTAAGGTGTTGGCTCGTGAATTTAGTGTCATAGTAATTGTACGTTCAATTCCCGAGCTATGTTGAACAGACTCAGATGCAGTAGAAACAAGGCTTGAAATAACTGTAACACTTTCAATAGTTTTTTATTAACGTTTGTCTCCCCTTGGATATGAAGCCATTTAGCTGGAGTTGGAAGGAGCGAGGTGGTGAATGAGAAGATATGAATGAGTTTTCCCTTTCACGTTGCAAGCAGCCAACAATTTTTAGAAGGTTTATTGAAGAACCAATAGAGAAACAAAAAGACATGTTGTGTATGTTTACTGATAAAGGGACTAGAGTAAAAAAAAAAATTTCGACACAGGCTACAAGTTTAGACTCGGCTCTTCTACGATGTAAATTACAAGTAAAGAAAAAGTATTCTTTTAGAATTACATTTTCAAAACGTATGTATTTGTTTAATTTGAGTCCAGATTATATTCTATTGAATTAGACACGTTTAAGCGTTCGATATACGTTGAGAATTTAAGTATTTACGACATATTTATTGGATCTCGATGATATTATCTGTATCCTCCCCCCTAAAAAAGACTGTTACTCAAATCATTTGACCTTTCAAAATATCCAGAACAAAAAACTGTTAACTTTCTGGAAGTAAATGTATTGGACATCGAAAATGAATGAAAGATCTAGGATGTGGATTTATTATGAAACCCTCCAACAGCAAGCCATGTGGATGGTATCTGATAGAAGTTAATAAGCAGCATTAGAAGTGCATTTACTGCTGTTCTCAATCGGTCAACACAAAGGCTCGACTAACCCTTCACTACGGACTTTCTTATACGATATCATGACCATCATTAGACCTCACACCGTCGTACATCTGAATGACTCCTCTGGACCTGAAATTTAACACTGAATCCCATTCTTACGATGACGTCTACAGTCAATCTACCTCCAACTTTATGTAAGGAATAGGTTGCGCAAAGTACAATATTTAACCAACGAGTTTTAGACTCGATGGAGAAGAGAATATCTCTTGAATTTACAAATAAGCTAAAGGTTGCAGAAGAATGGAAGGAAGATGAAGGTCAATGTTGTTCTTCTAAATGGTAATCTAGCACCACGCAGTGAAAGGAAATTAGCCAGAACAACTGATGCCAATCCAGGATCAGATGGTAGGGTGAGAAAGCAAAAGTTGATCGTTGCGGACATTGCATTTCGCAATGGAAATAAACCCATAACTTGAATGGTATACCTTGAAAGACCTGTGCTGTTGTTGTTACACTGCTTGAAATAGAATGTCAGCTGTCTGTGCTGGTTTAGCTGTATAGGATAGAAATCCCACATGGAAACTGTGATTTGTCGGGAGTGTAACTGTTACAATAGTGTTGTCTCCCCTTGAATGTGACGCTCTCTTGGTATGAGTTGAAAGGAAGGAAGAAATTAAAGAGGATGGAATGTGAATATATAAATGGGCTATCCCTTTCTCTGTGCAGCACGAAAAAAACAAGATTTCTCTACACATTGCGAACGATACGAGAAAAATTTAAATAGTGGTTTAAGTAAAGCGTTCAGTTCGAAAATTATTGAAACACCCGAAGAAGGCTGGATTGCGCAGCGGCCGAAACGTTACGATATTAACAAAGATGAGGGTATTCGTAAATCATTATCATCATCATGGCTTGTCCTCGCAAAGCGAAGATCAAGAAGGAGTTTGTTCACGTCGATTGCTGGCATGTTTGTAGCTGATAAGGCCAATGCGGGACAGAAAAACACAGCAGTCGCAACTGAAGGTCCAACCTGGGATCGATGGCATAGCATCACAGTACTTCCTCCTCTACTTCGTGTTCTTAAGAGCGGCCTGCAGCTATTTTCAAAGGAAGAGACAGCATGTCTATTGGTAAGAAGCCAGGCGTCACGGTTCTCAGCTAGGGTGAACCATTGGCAAGGGTCTATATAACAGGCACCTAAGAATTTTTTATATCAAGAAAGAAGAGGTACATTCATAAATAACGTAAAGGATAACCACTCATTCTAAAAATTCAAACAGTACTATATTCATTAATAAAATTACCATTTTTGTCGTCATATTAATGTTTTAAGTATTTAATTTATTACTAATAATCCAATGTTCGCCGGCAGTATTCAAATTACCCATTTATTTTTCATTGCTTTTAAATATTATTGGTTTCTAACAGATTTTCTCAAACTTGCGAAGGCATGAGATCTTGACTTCTTCCATGCAACCAATATTTTATATAAAAAAAATCTCAATTCCAAGAGGATCTTTTGGTCTGAAAAATAAACTACAAAAAACTAAAAGCATCTTGTTTGCAGATTTTCGACTATCGATCGTTGTCTTATTTCAAGGTTAAAAAGCTGTTTAAAGGTTCTTTAAACAACAAACGTCCCAATTTTAACTTGAACTCTGTTGTTATAGAAATTAGATTTGTAATTAGTAAAAATCTAATTTCTATTAGAATATAGTTAAAATAAAAATCAAATATTCACGCGCTTTAAGTGAATCACGTTGTCTTGCAAGTTTAGATTTTGTTCTTACAAAGTAAAACATTTTTTGGTAACTACGGTATCTGTGATTTGTAAATTATTAAATAATACTTAATGTCGTTTGTTTCATCATTCAGGTCAGTGGGGAGTTCCAAGCGTCAGCACAGCAGGCATACTCGGCATTCTAGCATCTATATTCGCTTCAATTATTGAATCAGTTGGGGATTACTACGCATGTGCAAGGATGGCTGGTGAAGCACCTCCACCTATACATGCTATCAACAGAGGTATGAGATTATTCATTATATAATTTGCACAAGATCATATATGTAAAACTGAAATTAAACTAACACAATAGCCACTACGATAAAGGAATTTCTTACAAAATGCGTCGCTTATCTTTCACTGGCTGTTTTATTGTAAACGATGATCTTTTCGCTTACCATTTTTTGGTTTAAGAGTCCTTCATTTTGGGATTTCCCGTGTTTATCAAGACTGCCAACAAGAGTTACATGTTTAATTTCTTCGCTTCGAAATCCATAATTTCTAAGTCAATTTCTTTCTCTTGAAAATAGTCCTGTACTAAAGCTGGTTAGATCCAACATTTATCTAAAAACTGCCCATGCTTTTTTTTTTTAAATCCAGGCATCAGTGTATCTATCTGACATCACGTCCAAATGTATTTGCATGAAGAAATATGGTAGCCATCATAAAATCACGACATCAAATAAATGCTAAACAATTTGTACGAAGTGATTGAACAGAAAATCTATGGGAATGCAACTAAATTTTTCAGTAAACAATTTTAAGAATAAAAATTAATGAAATTCAGGTGGAAATCAATGAGAGACGTTGAATTATCAAACAACAACGAACAATAAATGAACAATACCAGAATGATATCGGAGAAGTCCTATCATTGTTCCTGGACAATGACCTAGCTTTAATTTGAAACATACCTTTAATACAAACATTGCTCGGTAGGAGTTTACTTTTTTAAAATGGGATTGCAAACGGATCTCAAACTAAAGGTCTTTCCATTCAACTAATAGTAGTCCCGGGATAACAATTTATACTAATTTTAGTATTTACTATACTATAATTTTCTGACGTGGTGGGAATCCCAAAAACAAACAATCAGCAATCGTTTTTTTTTAAGGAAACGCATATTTATTGAAATAACATAAAGTATGAATACTTCACTTTTGTGCCCTTAGTTTAAATTTTTCCTAGATTTTAAAATAATAATTATACTTTTATTATACATACTTGTTTCTTTGTCACATTTATTTCAAAATGCGTAACGGCGGCAAACCAGTGTGTATCTATTTACCATTAACTTTTTTGACATAATTTTCCAACCATACAGATTACGTTTTACAATGACACACCCACAAAGCGTCTTCAGCTATGAAGTAATTGCCAAACATCCAATATAATTGTTTATAAAAAAATTTAATGTAGTGTAGTGAATTGTATAAATGTGTGTTGTATATTTAAATTTATTATGAATATTTATTATTTTTCACTCTGTTATGGTCCGGTTCCTTGTACCATGGTGATAGTCCAAGGTAGAACCAATAAAGAAGAACTCGAACACAGGTATGGAATAACACAGATATATTACAAACAGGAATATATAGAGAGAAGTAGAAGTGTTAGTATGAACAATCAGGTTTAGTAGAGAGAACAATGTAGTCTCGACCAGTATCACTATTCCAATGTCTTGCAATAATTGTATGAATGCGACTCTGTTTCGGACTGCCTCTGACTCGACTCTTGACTCGACTTGAACTATTCACCCCTTGCCTACTCCTGAGGCGCAGTATTTATTAAGTATGGAATAGTCCATTATTATTATTATGGGTAAGATCCCATAACACACTCACACAATAATTGGAATGTAATATGCAAGTGTTTGTTTATATACGCAAATTGATATAAGAATATGAAATGGTTTGGTTTGGTTTATTTTGTTTTACAGCATATCTACCTCAATGGGTTATTTAATGCCGACAATATTTTTAGTATAGGTTCGTATGAATAAAATATGTATTCGGTATAAGAAAGCAGTTTGTAGGAAATCAGGTTTCATTGACGTGTTTTTGTAAAGAGCCAAATGTATTGCTGACAATTCTTTTTTTCAAAAATGTATTGGTGGCCTTTTTTTCCAAAAATATATTGCTGGTAATTTTCTTTTTTTTTTTTTTTTTTTCTTGTTTTTTTTTTTAATCTATTGCTGGTATTTTTACTATGAATATTTGTTTTTGTACTTTCAGTGATTTCTCCCCAGTTTGAAGGTTAACTATTTACCCATAACTGGAACCTTAACAGGTTCCACCACCCCGGTTCAGAGTGGACCTAGAAACAACAGCAATTAAGAGGTGGTTTTACGCTCCTCGACGGCTCCAGATCTGAGGCATTGCTGCTGGGTGTAGTTTATCGTCATAACCAGGACGCAAGAATTTGTATTGAAAATATGCAGTAAAAGAAAAAAAAAACAGAAATACGGCCCTAGCTCAAGAACTCATTGTACAATTTTAAAGAAATTTGACAGTGCACTCGGCTGGGCATTAAAGTACAATAAACCCTTGAATTGCTTAGAGTATTACGTATAGTTCAAGCTGTATCTCGGGAACATACATACAAGATTAGACTTTTATTATTATATAGATATCATAAGTTCTATATATTTGATTAAAAGCCCGTTCAATAGACCCGATATAAAAAAAAAAATTCTTACTCTCCGTGTACGCTGACAGTGGCTTTATATACTAAGGTCTCACGCAATTAGCAATTCTGCAACTACATCCAGGCTGTACGTGCGTTTTTACAACATTAACTATTTTGCATTGTGCCTTTTGATAAAACTAGATATATTAGACATAAAGCTGTAGTTTAAGTTACCAGCTCTTTTATTTGATAATTTGACTCGTAGGAAATGTTTGTATATTAATCTGATATGTCCGGGATAGGGATATATTTGTTCGAAGTAGCAAAGTGTTTGTTCACTACTGTAACCGAATAGGACAATCTAGCAGGTAACCGTAATGAACTGGTCCTCGTCGTAGTGGTAAGCAATAGTGGTAGGCAATAGGTGAAGACAATAGACGTCGTCCTGTACCTCCACATCAGTCTGTATTTATGTCTGACACCAGTCAATCATATTATTGTGAGGGGGAACCCAGGTGTATGCATATTCATTACATCACAATCAAAAGACTGTTTTTCCAAACCTGTTTTTTTTTTTTTACTGCTTTTTTAAATTGGGTATGAAGCATATTTTCTTTTTCTCCTATTGCTTTTAGGTTGTTGCCCCTGCTAGAATTTCAATCTAATATTATATCCTTCATGTTTCATAATCTAACGTGGATTTATTAAACGTGTCAATATGCGATCAATTAGTAGATTATTTGTGCTCAACCTTTGTTGTTTCAGTAGATTTTTTTTTAAATGTTTCGATCCAAGATTTACAAAGAACACACTATTAAGTTTCCTAAGTGGCACAAAGTATTAGGTTGGTGCAAAAATAATGTCGTTTTTTGACGTTCAACTTAACGTCAAAAAAACATTATTTTTTGCACCAACCTAATATATTAAATTTAATTTTACATTAAGGAAGTCTACAACTTTCAAATTTATTTTGATAACAAAGTTGAGTGCCATCTCCTGGAATAGCTTTTCTTATTGCATCATTGATTCTATCTTTATCAGCCTCTACAACAATTTAATCTGTTGTCCCTATATAAGGCCTGAACATCTCCATCTATAATTCGACTCAGTTTTTGCCAAACCTATATCCTTACTGACATTCATATATGTTACATCGTAAGATACCATAGATCCATTAAAATTCTGGTTTCTCGGTATTTAAACTAGTTCCAGTTAACTTACTTGCCCCGCTACTGAATAAAATCAAGAGCTATTCGCAAAAGTAAATGAATATCCTGTGGAATAGCTTTGATTATCGTTCTCATTTATTATAAAATATAGCAACAAAATTGTTTCTCCTTGTAGAAAATATACTGCTATGCTTACAAATGTTTTCGCATATATTTATTTTTACACACACACACACGCGCATATATATATATATATATATATATATATATATATATATATATATATATATATATATATATATATATATATATATATATCATAAAATTTTTGCATACGGACAAAAGCAATTAGTCACGACAAAGTTGCATTTTTGTTTAGATGCAAAGGAGATACTCAACGGGTGACGAACAAAGATGGTTATGACAGATCCTATTTTAAAATGCCGCCTATGGACCATTTGTCGTTATTCAAATTGTTTTGTGGAAAAATACGTAAGGAGAACCACCATTCTTACGTGTCTTTTTTCTTTTTTTCGGTTCTGTATTTATATAAATTCCTCGCCTATTTGTATTACTAATTTATTTGCTTATTTTTCTTCTTTCTCATTGGAATTTTCAACATGTTACTTTATTACTTAATTTTTATTAATTCTTAAACTTCACTTCTTTCTGTTTTTACTGGTTTCTTATTATTACTATTATTATAATTTTTCCTTTTATGTGGACCCATTTAATTATTCTTTTTTCCTTTTATGGTCTTTCTCCTTATGCTTTTTTTTCAAAAAAAAACAATTTGGAAAACGAGAAAAGGAAAGTGACGCCGCATAGGCGGCATTTTTAAATCGAATCAGTCACAACCATCTTTTTTTCTCACCCGTTGAAAATATCCTCGAAACAAAAACGCATCTTTGTCATGAGTAATTGTTTTTGTACGTATGTAAAAAAATTTATAATAAATAATTACTGTTCTACTCCCGATATTGAGCCCTCTTTTGAATGAATGCTGTGAACGTTTGAATTTATATTCTTTTCCTTCTTACTACATTTGTGTGTATATATATATATATATATAGAGAGAGAGAGAGAGAAAGAGAGAGAGATCCGGTGAAAATGTTTCGTGACCCCCCCTATCTAGGATACACCATCTCCTGATCCTAACCCCAACTCTACCACATCTCAATTTTTATAAGGTAGTATTCATATTAAAATAATTATTGTAACCTAATTATGTACAATAATAGATCATATGCAATAAAGATGAACAATTAAAGTAGAAAAATTAAAAATACATTGTACGATGGATAAATTGTCGTCTAAATTACGCTAAAAATAAAAATAACACTGACATCTCATTTTAGCTGATATATTTAACAAATTTACACAAAAATATCTGGAGATACTAAAGAGTAAATGTATTCAATCAAATCGCCATTGACTTCAACCACGGCCTCCAGACGACTTAGGAATCTCCTCCAATTCTTCTGGACGGTCTCTTTGTTTAAGTTGGTGAATGCCGACATAATCCTTGTCTTCAGTTCATCTTTGGTGTTACAAGGAGTTTTCCTAGTCTCTCACCCAACTGCCCCCCCCCACACATAATAATCAAGGGGCTAGCAGTCGGGTGAGTTAGGTGGCGAAATGTAAGGGTTGATGTGCTTACATAAATTGATTGACAGCCATTACTTGGTTCTCCTGCTTGTGTGGCATGGTGCAGAATCCTGTTGCCAGACATGTGGTCTTCCAGCAGCCACTCCCTTGACCTAGGATAGCACTACCTTCTCAAGGGACTTGATGTAAGCCTTTGTGCTAAATCTAAAGCTCTGTGGGAGGGCATAACGTCGCTATCTCTAGTGATCACTCGAAAAATCCTTCGTAATCACCATTAGTCTCATCCAACTCTTTCTGAATCCTCTGACGCCCAAACACTCTGAAATGTTCATATTAGAACTTCCAGCGCGAATGCCAAGCACTACAGCATGCCATTTCCAAATTTCTGGCGGAGTGAATTGCGTCATGGTGCTCTTTTTTCTCAGAGACGATGTCCAACTGACCCTACTATACTGTACAGTCGACAAAATCAAAAACAAACAACGCGCATGCGCAAAATAAAAAATATAATACGGCGACAATTTACCCTTCGCACCCAATACATACAATGTATCTAAATACAAATTAAAGAAATGTCATAAGAGATCATACTATCTGAAATAAATCGGTAGTTTTGTGGCAATTTTAACATCAAATTGAGATTTTTCTTGTCAAAAATTTGAATAATTTTAACATTATGGATAAAAATAGATTTGAACAAAAAAAGACCCCAGAATGACGTTAAAATCTGCGAAATTTTTTCATCCCGTAATAGTCAGTTATTCTTAGTTTAATTTGTAACGTATATAAGTTTAGGTAGAAAAAAAGCAAATGTTGATAAGATAGGACTTGCCGGGGCCCCAATCAGGCTTCCCATCCCCGGTCGAGGTTTTCGGGGCCAGTACGCACTGTCCTGTATATATATATATATATATATATATATATATATATATATATATATATATATATATATATATATATATATATATATCGTGTGTATGCATCTATGTATATCAATACACGTAGATAATGAGATAAAAAATCTTTGTATTTGTCGTGAGATGATATTTTACTGAATTCACACAAAATTATCACTATTTATTCTATACTGACGGCTGCGATATTAGTGTACACATAAAATCCTCCAAATGGGCGTATTTTTTTTTTATTCTAACGTTAAATATGGAAGAGAATAAGCAGCATTTTCAACATAGTACACATTTTTATTTTCAGAAAATTAAAACAGCACTGAAAGACTAAAACTGACCAATTTGTGAGCTTTTAACTTGACAAGTAAATACAAAAGAATGGATTTTTTATACATCCATTCTTTTCTTTTGCTAGAAATGCCTGTCAGGAAAACTACTTGAGGTTGATAAGCCGTAAAACAAAACAGAACAAACTAGAAATACCTGTCAGGAACACTATTTTTTTCTCAAGTTGGCAGACAATACAAGCTGAGGGAATTTGTATTTTTATGACTTTCTGATGAGCAATTTGAAAATGTAATATTAACAGATACCATCAAGATTTAAACTCTCTTAACTCTTTCTGGGTTTTAACAAATGTTAAGAAATTTTACTTAGAAATCGGAATTCTCTTAATGTAATTGTTGAAGTAGCTGCATGTTTCTCATCTATTCCATTTGTCTGTGTTCAGTTGAAGATAAAAGCCAGATATCGAATGCTAATTTTACAAAGTTGATTAAACCTCATAATACACAAAATTAGCACAACACCTCTTCAAATCACTATCCTTATTTAAGTCCACTCACATGACGATATGATTTTTCTTTTTATAGGAATTGGAATGGAAGGTATTACTTGTTTTTTGGCCGGTGCCTGGGGAGCTGCAAGTGCCAATACATCCTACAGCGAAAATATCGGTGCCATCGGCATCACCAAGGTATATCACAAAACTTAATATTTTCAAGGCAAATAAGTTGTTTGTAATCAGTTTTTCAGTAATTATATAATGAACAAAATTTGTGCTATATTTTTACCATTTCTCATTTGTACGTGTCCAGATTGCAAGCCTAAGAGTGATGCAAATTGGAGCTTCCGTGATGATGCTACTTGGATGCTTGGGTAAATTCGGCGCACTCTTTGTCACAATTCCTATACCAGTGATTGGAGGAATGTTCTTCGTCGTGTTTGGTAACTTCGACTTTTTTATTTGTTTCTTTGTGTTCGTGTAGCCTAATGGATAAGATATCAAAAACGATTTCACTCTGTCTGACCTCTAATTTATTTTATTTACATAAACATCATTTAATAAAGGCTACCTTTAAAGTAGCCTTGTGCCACACTCTAGCAAACATAGTATGTTATGCTTAATTGAAGTATAAAATCTAGACAACTAAAACGAATGCACTCAATTCATTAATGATTTTAAATACCGGCATTTACTCAAAAGATTTATAATATATAAATGTAGACTACATGCATTATTTACATTACTCTGACTGGTATCCTCATCTTCATTGCCATGTGTCTTTGAGAACATCTGTGTATGCATTTCTGGGTATTATAAACCTAATGTCGTCAGCAACCATTTTTACCAATGCTCATATTGTAATTTTGCTGTTATCTACATGTTTTTGCGAGAGCTCATATTGCAATTTTTGTTGTTATCGCTTTTCTCTGGCACTCATTATTGGTTCCCATATTGTATTCATTTCTATGCTTGCTCGGCTCAGGAGATTTTTGTGGCCTAAAATATATGCTGATTCCTTAAGTTTACAAATTTTCCAATGGTGTTCCTTGTCTATGATCTCAACTTGATCCCACAGAGGATGGTGATCTCCCTTTTCTCTCCATATGTGTTCAGCCACGCCTGATTTTTCCACTTCCCCTCGTATTACAGCTTTCTGATGTTCTTGAAGCCTTAACTTAATGGGGCGGCCTGTCTCCCCTTTATATTTCTTTCCTCAAGGAAACATGGCACAGTGGATAAAGGCGTTAGTTAGATCCAGTGACAGGACCCAAAGAGTGTGAGTTCAATACCCGGTTAAGGCAGTGGAGAACTTAGAGAGGGGAATTAACAGGAGATAACTGATAGCTGACATCTATTAAGCATGGCACGTGGAACTAGAACAGTCTACTCCAGTGAGCGAAATAAAGGGTTCAGTTCGGCATGCCAACCACCTGAAGAAACGTTATAATAAATATGGCGACAAAGATGAGGACAATAGTCCGAATAATGTAAATAGTGTCTATGCAAAATTAGTTCACAGACAAAATTATCTATTTTTCACCATTTTTACGGCAGTTTAGCTTATATTATTTTAGCGATGATATATGGTTACTATAAAACATTAACACCTTCAGAAGAAAAAATCTATGATCTCCTCAGCAAGTACTCATTTTACTTGATGATTGATCCAAGCCTGGGTACAGAGTATATACACTCTTGGGCAAATTAATTGAAACAAAACGAATAATTCCATTATTTTTTTTTCGTATTTTTCCCATGGAACATGACCCAGTGTACATGTTAGTATTTCGTATGTCTATTCCACGAAGTCGTTTCTTGCAGATTGACAAGAGATTCTTATTTGGATTTAAATCAGAAGAGTTTCCGTGCAAGTCTGTCGTACTTTGATTTGCTCACTGGTAAGACTTGCCAGTGTGTTTGTGCAGCGTTACAGTTTTCGTACGCTTCTTTGGAGTAACGTCCATCACAGACAATAGCCGTAGGGCAGCTAATCGACAATCGAGACAAAAGTATCTGGACGTGATGAAAATCTGATGCAATCACGGAAGACGCACTATTTTTCATGGCCAAAAATGTTTCATCATACACCCCGAAAATAGATTCATATTACTGCACACTACTGCAAATGACCTAATCTGAGGAAAAATAGAAATCGATTACACCCTGTCATTGCAGAGGGTCTAAAACTGACTGTATAGTGAAAGAAAGAAAATTAAAGCGGTTGTTTCAATTAATTTTCACAAGGGTGTAAGACTAAACAAAAGCATCAGAGATAAATTCAAGCAGATAGAGGAAGAATGTTTAAATGTAAAATAGTCAGATTAACAAAACACAGAAGCAGCAGCTATATGCAGAAAGTTCAAAGAAGCATTTAGACAGCGTAAAACCTGGTCTTCGCTGGTTGGGGAAAAAATTTAAAGACGGAACAATCATTATGAAAAAAAAGTTAATTTAACAATGCAATGAAACTATTAGAATTATTCCATGAGAACAGAAAAGAGTCATAAAATGTGTAAAAAAAATACTTCAAAGTACCCATAATACTTAAAATTTCAAGTAAGGTCAGTTCTACAACGTCGAGGCTTGAATGTTTCAAAATAATCCCCATACAATTTCTTAAGTTCTTTATTTCATATTCTTATATGTGTTAAATTACTTATTTAGTGAAATATCTGACGGCTACAGAAGTGACATACAGCCTCCTTGGATCATTTCCCAACTTGTTTTGTTTTTCTGTAATTTTATCTTTACAGATTCAAACAATTATGAACAGAACTTGGTCCATGTAAGTAATGACATTAACTTCAGGAGAAATCCGTGTCTTTTCATTCATGTAAACGGGTGTTAATATTTTGTCTTTTCATCTTTGTGGATGGAGTTTTAACACGCACACCACTTGGAAATCTTTCATTTTTTGCCTTGTTTTTAGCTTAAATAATACCATTGGTTTGTGCTGTGTGTCGCCAGCTACACACATGACCAGTAAAATTTTGTTCTTTATATCTATTTGTTTTTATAAAAGTAGCGCTATGTTTTGAAATCCCCACAATGGTAATTTTTTAAATATCATGTCCCTTGAGGATGTAGGCGATCGTGGCTCTCCACAATTCCTTTTAACCTCTGTGAATTGCAAAGACTTGTGAAAGATGGAGGAGTGGTTTCCCGTTGACTTCTCTACGGCTTTTGCATTCAGAGTTTTCCTTTTCTTAGGCTGGTTGCCGCTCAAGCCTACAGAATTGTCTTCATCACTAGCCACTTAGAATTATAGAAACAACATATATACTGTAGTAGTAGAGTCTAAGGCAAGACAACCTGACAGAGCTTATTCCTCTTCAGTCTGATTTTAAATTCAGTTTTCATCCTCGTAGACAGGTTGCCACCTAAAGGAAGCCCAGTCAGCCCTGCTATTTAGCCCATAGCTGGGAGTAGACAAGATGGTTTCATACCTTTCCTATGCGTATTTTTGCAAAAGTGAACATAAAAAAATCGAGCTGAATTCGGACACAGCTCGCCAATTTCACTCTCCGTTACACCACCCGCACATCGGTACCTATCCTGCTATTTAATCTAGAGCGGGGATAAAAAAGAGATAGTCAGCACATTCATTAGTATTACTAATACAAAGAAACGCTGGAGTGTAGGTTGCATGTTGTTGACAATTCACATCAATTATTGCGTTCAGTAATAACAAATTTATTGAATTGAAAACCTAGATCGTTTGGTAATTTTTGTACACTATGAGTTTACTGACATATTACGAGACGATGAAAATCATACACCGACCAGTCGAAGCGGAAAAATGTTATGTAATAACCTATTTACTTATCTCCATGGGCTATTGTAAGACCTTTCTTCTAATCGTTATCGGGTGATATGTCAACCTTCGTGTAATTCATATAACCCTAGATATAAACATTTCATTTTCTCATACGAAGAGACAAAATATAGTTTGGTACGATTTGTTTGTGCAATTTTTTCAGTGCTTCTTTTAGTTTGTTGGTTTGTTTGTTTGTTTTCCCATCAATACTAACTTACATTATTCTAACTCACAAAAATTTCTTTCTCATTACATTATCATTTCCATGTTCTTCCACATATCTTAAGTCTTTTTAGCTCTAGTTCCCACAGTTTAAATTTTTCACTTGTTTGTCGATTTTCGTTCCACC